CATTTTTTGTTTTCAATATTATTCAATTATACAAATACGTTTTTATGTTATATTAATAAGCAAGAGGTCTCTAAAATAATTTTAAACTTTGCCAAACAGATACAATTTAATTAAACATTCATAATAAAGAAAAATAAATATTTTTTAATGACAATAGTTGCTATAACAGTCAGATTCATGTATCTGTAAGAGAGAGAGAGAGAGAGAAGAAAAACAAAAATGATCGATAACAACGACACCCTTGTATATATTCTTACTTGACAGTTACTACTTTGCGATCGACTTTTTTGGATTCCAAATTTTTCATGACTCTCAGGTTCTCTAGTGTCTGAAACTTCTCCATATTAACGAACAATATGGGCTGAGTCACTTTAGAAAAAATCTCTTGGTTCTTCTGTAACGGGAACATCCATGAATCTAGGGCTAAGCCTATCCTAAATTGAAATATGCAGAATATTGGAATAACGTCAATGAGGTCATTTGGTCGAGAAGGCGAAATAGAACAGATATATATATATGTATGACATTTTGTTTAGAAATAGAAAAGAACATAATGATACTGTTAATGTCTGATATTACAATCGAAATGGTGTATTCAGTGTACTCTATTCAGTCTGATATTGCAATTTTAGGCTTAAAATTTGTGACAACAATCACGTTAACGGTAAAAAATCTTGTTTTTTTTTTAACATTCCTCCATCAGAGGCTTGTAAAAACAGCATTTCAAATCCATGCATTGTCTCCCATAAGTTACTGCCTAAGAGATCTTTCGTCTAATACCAGAACTCTCGTCTTTTGGTGGTTAAACCGTAACTTGTAAATACAACTTTTTTTTTTAAGGTTGTTAATGAATAATTTGTTGAAGAAAAGTGCAGAGAAATGGTTATTTTTCTGCATTAAGATTATGCGTGTTGGAGGAAGGTGATCCAATCTATTTATCAGGCTTAGTTTTTGCTATTATTGCATAGACTGATCGTAGAAAGTTCTTTAATTTCTTTACACTGATCATTCATAAAAAAAAAATCCATTGTAAAATATAATGCAACTGCGTGGACTTTTATAGTGAAACGTTTTGGTTCATAGATTTACTTTAATAAATAAACAAAAAAAACAAAAACAAATACAATTTTAACTGTTATTGTTTTACTAATGCACATTTTATGCTACTCTGCAGGAGCGATAATTCTGCCTAACTTTACTGTAGACTAGTGTAATATGATTTAAATACGAAAACTCCCCTTAGCATAAAGACTGTTTATTGGATATTTATTCTGTCCTAAATTCGAAACATATAAACATGTAGTTTCCGCATAGTTCTATGTGTTTGTATGTTTATCTAATTCGATAAATATTTATCTGGTTAATAAATATTCAGTCATTTTATTGAATTGCTATTTCTATTTATGCCAAGGCTAATAAGGCTCTCTACTGCTGACCCTAATTTTGAACTACTGGCAAGAGGGGAAGACAGTCAGTTAACAGAAATCTACCATGCACACTAAGGGACTGACTGTCACTCTTATAACGCAACCACAGCTTAAAGTGCGATGAATATTTTGTGATATCGCATGGATTCGAACCTGGCTCGCTAACTCCGAAATCCGGAGCTCTTCCACAGAGCCAATACAAGTTCTTTGTGAATTACTACCGGAGCTCCTCCACAGAGCCAATACAAGTTCTTTGTGAATTACTACCGGAGCTCCTCCACAGAGCCAATACAAGTTCTTTGTGAATTACTACCGGAGCTCCTCCACAGAGCCAATACAAGTTCTTTGTGAATTACTACAGGAGCTCCTCCACAGAGCCAATACAAGTTCTTTGTGAATTACTAAGTCAAAAACAATTCATACAAAATTCATCTAGGATTTTTACAAAGCTAGATAAACGTTTACCTTATTAATAAATATTCAATAGGTTTTGTAAGTTACTATACGAATAACAATTCCTACCAAGGTTTTTACAAAGCTAGATAAACGTTTACCTTATTAATAAATATTCAATAGGTTTTGTAAATTACTATACGAATAACAATTCCTACAAAGGTTTTTACAAAGCTAAGCAAAGTTTATTTAATTAATAGTTCCCTAGTGGGTCAGCGGTAAGTTTACGGACTTATAAAGCTAAAATCCGGGTCTCGATTCCCCGCGGTGAAAATAGTATAGATAGCCTATTGTGTAGCTTTAGGCTAAAACAGACAGCTGAAGCAGTTCAAACATAATTAACGAATATTTAATCACTTTTGTAAATTAACAAATCAATAACAGTTCCTACAAAGCCTAACCAGGCTAAAACAGACAGCTGAAGCAGTTCAAACATAATTAACGAATATTTAATCACTTTTGTGAATTAACAAATCAATAACAGTTCCTACAAAGCCTAACCAGGAATTTCACAAAGCCTTACTAAACATTCAATCGTGTTTGTGAATTACTAAACCAATAACATTTCCAACAAAGCCTAACCAGGAAAATTAAAGAAAGTCTGTTTTTGTTGTTAAGCTCAAACTTTACTGCGGGCTATTTGTGCTTTGCCCACCGCGGATATCGAAATCCTATTTTTAGCGTTATAAAATCTCAGAATTTTAGTTGAGCCACCTGAGGGCTATAAAAAAAGAATAAAAAACAATTAACAGATCTATCAAAACATCGTGTTATGTATAGAGCTAATTAAAAAACAATAAACTTCTAAGATATGGCACATGTTAGAATACTAAAATTACATTGATTCCCTGTGAAAATTTTAAGATCGAAAGATATTTTCTGCTTGTCCTGTAAGTAAAAATAATAATCACGCGCAGAGATAAAAACAGATTGATTTGGCATTGCTTTTATATTCGTTCATCCTTGAATTTAGCCTTTTGTGTAGGCGCTCAATTTGTGTAAGTTATCGTTTTACATCTGAAATATTTCCTTGTTGATTCTAAAATCTCTCTTTATAAAGGACAACAGAATTCAAAAAGTATGAATTAAAATTTAAGGCTAACATTTTTAAGTCGATTAAATGTTCATTTGTTACTACGCATAAGAAAAATACGCATGCCATTCAAACCAAGTACTTTGAATCATTACACTCTATATCGACAATACTTCAGACAATAAATAGACGCAATGCTTGATTCGAGCATACTGTCATCAAAACATTTTACCCAAGTACAGAAATTCCCTTTAAATTTAAATATGTGGACTCCTAAAGAAAGAAGGAAGGAAAATCAATGATTGGTTACTTGAATCGGAGATCCAGTGCAAGCGAGAGAACAACAGTGGTGCCCCCAAACGAGTGTCCGGCCACTGCAGCTCTGGAGAGGTCCATAATTCCTTTAAATTGACTGGCTTGGAAAGAAAGGTTGATCACATTGTGTATGGGAAGACCATTGTTTAGGGCTTCCAGAAGGTCCAGTACTTGAATACAGTCATAAGCTCGCTGTTTTGTCTTTAATACAAGATAAGAGCCACATTTCACCCAACCATTTGAATCTGAGCGTTGATTTAGTAAAGATAACATAGCATTTTATAATTAAAAAAGGAACAACAACAACAAAGATTAAGATTTGTGTGAACAAACATATTAAGAGTATTTGATCAGAAACGTTGACCTCAGATTCTTGATCCTAAACTGCCTTAAAAAATATAAGAGCTTCAACTAAAGATATTTTAACTTTAAATATTTGCTTACTGAGAAGAGGAAAGTGAACTGATCCTGCAATTATAATACACAGATCCGAAACCTTATAATCTTAGCGCTTTTTAAAGGTTGGCCTATCTTCTTCAGGGGCAAACTGAAGAAGAAAGGTCCACTTTCGAAATCGTTTGAATTATAGGGTATCGCATCTTTTGTGTTAAATTGATTTCTTTAACCTACGAGTTTTATTAACCTGAAATTAGAATGATGTTCCTAAACCATTTTTGTGTATTATCGTCTCATATTACGTTTTTGTTTCCACTTCCTTACGTAAACATAAAACTTCTCAAGCCTGTTTACACTACACTTCTTTTAAGTAATCGAAATTCCCTTATGTTACTTTAGCTTAAACATTTCATCTTGGATAACAATGTTTTATTTCCAAAAAATTTAAGTTCCTTGGTCATATTTTTGTTGTACATAAATCACGATTGCACCATTAAAATTATCCTTTATATAACTAGTAAACTTTTGAGAAAATACGTTTCAGCTTTTTGTTTTTTGTTTACATAAAAGAGTTATTCGTACTTACTTGGTTGTGGCGAACTTTGTATTCATTTGCACTTTTCTTAAGTTGACGGTAATAAACCCATTTCCTCGATGTATGTGGAATACCAAGATACTGGTTTTGACTCCCCAAGTACTTGAGCTCAGGTCGTACATCTTCAAAGTCTACTTCCGTGACAGCAGTATTCACTTTAAAGTCATTCGTCTTTTTGACTAAGTCTTCGATATGTTTATAGTTACTATCTTCGTTATCACTACCTTTAATGTCAGGCGTGTCTTCAAAGTTCGATCGCGTTTCTTTTATGACATAAGACGATAAACAAGCTGAATAATCTCTGGAAAATACTCACAGAATCAGAAAAAGTCATATGAAAGACGTACCTCTATATCAAACAGGTAATAGTACAATCTTTAACACGTCTTGTACTCTCGTTCCCAATACAAGCACTTTGGCCTTATAACACTAAAATTAATCTTTCTAACACTACAAGCTAAATTTATAAAAAAAGCAACAAATATTCCAGTCATGATAAGTTGCCATAACAACGAATCAGTTTTAAAGATAAGGTATAATTAAGGAAAAAAATGAATGCCATTGAAAGTTTCCTGTTAGCTATTTTAGATATTATTTGGTTTTTTCACCCCCTTTTTTCAGTCCAGGAAATGTACTGGAATAATACAAATGCGCACGAATACTAGACATTTTTTTCTTCCTATGTTATTTCAGAAATGGCCTTCAAATAAAGGAAAACACGCACAAATAAAATAGTATACAAAATATTTATAAAAGTATTTCATCATTAAAAAACTATAGTAGATGATTTTTAGATCAATTTCCTTAACTTGTTCAGTCTCTTGTTAAAATCGCCTAGAAAAGTTTGCTTAATATTTTGATCCTTTCACTCTAAATATTATATATTACATCTATTTCTCATGTATTTAATCACTTTCCCTTTGCTTCTCCTGAATACAGTTTTTTTCTGTTTGTAGAAAACTTAATAAAATCGAAGAAGGTACAACTGTTGTTCTAAAGGGATAAATATACCATGTGACATTGGAAAGCTTTCAACATTACCAATAGTTTAAGTAGTGGTGATATATATTTGCTTTTGAGAGATATATAATTTTCTACGTTTAGAGTAACAGCCTTAGTAACACCATCTATAATTTAAGCACATGTATGTATGATTCTGTTGTTTGAAGTTAAAACAGATAAATGCTTTATTACGTTTTTTTCATAAATTCTGATACCAAAATTGTATTATAGTAGCCCTGAGTTTTCTACAGGGATCATTATATCACTGACTGAATTGTATTGTAGCAGCTCAGAGATTTTGATAGGGATCCTTATATTATTGATTGAAGCGTATTATAGCAGCTCTGAGGTTTATATAAGGATAATTATATTATTGTATGAATCGTATTGTAGCAGCTCTGAGGTGTTGACAATAATCATTATATTACTGAGTGCATTGTATTGTAGTAGTCCTGAGGTTTATGTAAGGATTATTGTATTATTGAGTGAATCTTATTGTAGCTGCTCTGAGGTTTCGATAATGATCATTATGTTACTGAGTGAGTCTTATTGTAGCAGCTCTGAGATTTCGACAAGGTTCATTATTGTACTCAATATTAAACTTATATGAAACCAAGCCACAGCTCATTGTAACAACACAAACATGTATGCTATTTTATAGGTAAAATGAAATCCTCCAGTAGAACATGAAGCTTATACAGTTTGTTTTTCTTGTCTCTTATCAAGCAAAAAGCTACCAAATGGGCTATATGTGCTGTGCCAACAACGGGTATTGGAACCTAGTTTGTAGAGTTATAAATCTACATACAGACGTACCACTGTGCCACAAGGGAGCAGTTTATATAACGGGAAGATAATAAAGGTAGAACTGCAGTACTTGAAACAGATAACCGATATGTATTAGTTGTTCCTATGACTTTAATTAATCTATAACTTGAGTGTGTGTGTTTTTACAGTAAAGCCTCATCGGGATATCTGCTGTGTGCACCGAGGGGGATCGAACCCCTGATTTTAAGCGTTGTAAGTCCATAGACTTAACACTGTCCCACTGGGGAGATACTCTATAACTTGAGACGCGTTATTTGAAAGAACACCCCAGTGGCACAGCGGTATATCTGCGGACTTATACTGTTAGAAACCGGGTTTCGATACCTGTGGTGGGCAGAGCACAGATAGCCCTTTGTTCAGCTTTGTGCGTAATAACAAACAACAACTACTTGAAATAAAATTTCATGTAATTTTCTTAGTAATTAATGTAATTGTTTAAAGATATTTTTCAGGTCAAATAATAACGAACATGCTCTGTAAGCTAACAAACAGCAAGTACTATTCGTTCCTGAATAAAATTCCTAATCCCTCAGTGCAATGTTAACCCAACCGTTAAAATTCCTAATCCTTTGTCCCTCAGTGCAATGTTAACCCAACCGTTAAAATTCCTAATCCTTTGTCCCTCAGCGCAATGTTAATCCAACCGTTAAAATTCCTAATCCCTCAGTGCAATGTTAACCCAACCGTTAAAATTCCTAATCCCTCAGTGCAATGTTAACCCGACCGTTAAAATTCCTAATCCTTTGTCCCTCAGTGCAATGTTAACCCAACCTTTAAAATTCCTAATCCTTTGTCCCTCAGTGCAATGTTAACTCAACCGTTAAAATTCCTAATCCTTTGTCCCTCAGTGCAATGTTAACTCAACCGTTAAAATTCCTAATCCCTCAGTGCAATGTTAACCCAACCGTAGATTCGATGAGGAAAACAAAAGATATACTACTTGAAATACACGCACAATTAAAAAAAAGAAACACTAAAATTTCTTTATGTGTGTGTCAAGGCGTAGTGTAGAGCCATACAAAAAACCTAACTTGTTTTGGTATACTTCTTATATATATATACAATAAGCCTAACTTGTTTTCGAATGCTTCTTATATATATATACAAAAAGCCTAGCTTGTTTTTGTATACTTCTTTTATATATACAATAAGCCTAACTTGTTTTGGTATACTTCTTATATATATATACAAAAATCCTAACTTGTTTTGGTATACTTCTTATATATATATACAAAAATCCTAACTTGTTTTGGTATACTTCTTATATATATAT